ATTCGTTAAACATTGTGATGATTGTCAACGTTTTAAACATTCTAGGCCTAATATACAACCAATGTCAATCACAACGACGGCATCTTCAGCATTCCAAAACGTATATTTAGATTTAGTTGGCCCTTTAGAGGAAGATAATGAAGGTAATAAGTATATTTTAACCTTACAATGTGAGCTATCAAAGTTTGTTGAATGTTATCCTTTGAAAAATAAGGAGTCAACGGCTGTAGCAATAAGTTTTGTAAATAATTTTATATTACCTTACGGTATTCCAAATTGCATAATTTCCGATAAAGGAACTGAATTTTTATGTTCAACTCTGAAAGAAACATGTAAAATTTTGAAGATCAAACAGTTGTCGTCTACGGCATATTATCACGAAACAATGGGCTCTCTGGAAAACTCACATAAACACTTAAACGCGTATTTGCGTATTCAGATATCTAAGAATTCAGGAACTTGAAGTTCTTGGTTACAATTCTGGTGTTTTTCTTACAATGAAAGTGTGCATACAGAAACAGTGTGGACCCACTTCACAATTTCGATGATTATCCTTCTGAATTAAAATATCGATTTCAGAATGCCTGGCGTGATGCAAAAACTAATTCAATATCTTCAAAAGTAAAGAGGAAAGTGCATTTTGATAAAAAATCAACAGTTATTAATTACAAAGTTGGTGATCTAGTCATGCTTAGAAACAACTCGGGCAGCAAAAAAGATGCTATTTTTACAGGTCCTTATCCGGTAATTGGGGATAAAGCAACGAATGTTATTATTAAGATGGGTAACAATTTAGTTAATGTTCATAAAAATAGAACAAAACTGTATTATAATAACCCATTAGTGCCTAGCGTTGCTTTTATGTAACAGTAAAATGGCGTCAGCGAATCAGCTGTTTTGTCGCCCGAAGCACATAGTCTCGCCGTATAACTCGTCAGTTCGGTTCAGAAAGCATTGAAGGTCACGCTCGTTCAGTTGTGAGGCATTATTTTAGTTTTTTGTCCGATATTTCGTCTCCTAAAAATCCATAGGAGTTCAAAAGTCGAAAGATATGGACTTCGTCGATGAAAAGTGAGTACCTTTGTTATATTTCGTGTAATGAAGTTGATGTAAGTATTCAAATAGAATGAGTTTACATAAACACATATTTTCTATATATACTGATCTTGGAATTTTCATTCATGGAAGAGTTTTTTTGTTTTGAATTTGAGTGTTACATATATGTAACGCTAGGATGTAATGTGAGCATTTTTTCGAGATTATTCATAATTGGGTATACATATTCGATTTTCATTGTTGAGTATTCAAAACACCTAAATTCTAGTTTATTGTTATACAGGGTGTTGTAAAAATTAGATTAGATTTTTTTTGTTATTTCAGAAATCTTGCTGCGATCCTTGAGAAGGGGCTTACTGTTCAAGAAGCAATTGACATAGCTTTTGGCGAAGATGATGAAATACATGGCTGCATAGAAGCGGTTTATATAGCTCCACCAGATCCAGCTACTCTTACGGATGAGGATTCCGGAGACGAGGACGAGGGCGGAAATGTTGATAATTTGAGCAGGCGTCAGTTACTGGCTGATGCAGAAATACGAACTACCAGAGAAACTACACTGGCAGAAGATATTCCCATAAATGAGACACAACCGCAAGTATCTGTTGAAGAGATATCCGAAGATAATGCTTCTCCAATCAATGATATGAATGTGTCACCAGCTCACATAGTATATCCAAAAGTTTCTGACCCCCGGGATTGGATTTCAGGAGATTTCACCTATAACGAAAAACAATTTCTTGAAGCAGATTATTCATCGTATCAAAACAAATCGATTGTTGACTTCTTCGAGATGTTCCTGGATGAAGAAACTATATTATACCTTGTAGGAGAAACAAATAAGTATGCTCTCTTCAAAAACCAACCCGATCCAGGAGTGTCGCCAGATGAAATGAAATGTTTTATCGCAATATTGATTCTCAGCGGTTACAATGATCTTCCCAGTAAGCGGATGTATTGGGAACAAAGTCTGGATACTAGAAACGAACTAGTTTATAATTCGATGAGACGCAACAGATTCGAGCAAATTTTGAGGTTCCTGCATTTAGCTCCCAACGAAAACATGGATCAAGGTGATAAGCTATGGAAAATAAGACCATTCGTAAACCGGATAAAAGAGAAGTGCCGAAAATATTTCGTTCCTGAAAAAGACTTGGCATTCGATGAGAGTATGGTCAAGTATTACGGAAAACACAGCTGTAAGCAGTTTCTGAGAGCCAAACCCATACGCTTCGGATATAAAGTCTGGTGCCTGAATACAATAATGGGCTACTTGATAGATTTTGAAATATATCAAGGAAAATCTATAACCCCTGACGCTGACATTGAAAGAAACTTTGGAAAAGCGGCAGCACCATTGGTCAAAATGATAGAAGAACTACCCAATAATCTGAAATCCTTGCAATTCTCGTTTTACTTCGACAATTTATTTACGACTTTCAATTTATTGTCCTACTTACGTTTGAAAGGATATGGAGGAACTGGGACCATTAGGGAAAACCGATTACCCAGAAGCTGTCCTTTATCTGATAAAAAACTCCTTGGAAAAAAGGAAAGAGGTTATTTCGAGAACGTTATTAGTAAAACAGATGGTATTTTAGTAGCTAAGTGGGTTGATAACTCTGTAGTATGTATTGCTACCAATCAATATGGTATCAATCCTGTGGCAAATGTCAGACGCTACTCGCAAAAGGAGAAAAAACACATACAAGTAAGCCGACCAGCCTTACTTGCTAAGTACAACAAAAAAATGGGTGGTACTGATAGAATGGACCAAAATGTTGGACAATACAGGATCCAAATAAGGAATAGGAAATGGTACTGGGCATTGTTCACATGGCTCCTTGACATTTCAATAATTAACGCATGGTGTTTATATCGGAAATCCAGAAACTCCCAAATCGGCCAAATAGATTTTAGACGGGCCATTGTGCAAGTCTACTTGAAAAAATATGCGTCAGCTCCCAAAGGCACTGGCAGAACTCCAATGCCATCTTCCAATGCACAAGGGGTAAATGATGAAATCAGGTATAACAGGATGGACCACCTTGTTGAAAAAATTCCAAACAACAAGAGAAGACGTTGTGCTGGAATATCTTGTAAAAGTTCAACACACTCCCAATGCAAGAAATGTAATGTAGGCTTGTGCATTGATTGTTTTGTTGACTACCACACAAAAAATATTTGAACAGGATGGCAACTACCTATTTTAATTTTTTTTATATGCTTTTCAATAATACTCTTAATTTTTTAATATATGTATTTTTTGCTAACAGTAGTTCCTAGCGTTACAAATATGTAACACCTAATTCTGAAGGATTGGAAACTCCATTTACAAAACTTCATGATTTTTCATCAATTCTAATAATAATTCATACGAAAAATACTGAAATCACTTTCAAAATCGAAAAAAAATTAATCTGGGCACTAATGGGATAAATAGGATGAACTTTTTTTTTCCTTTTTTTTTAGTTTCATAGGAGGTGTAGTATAATATATATAAAGAACTTCAATAGATTTAGACATTTGAGTTATACCATAATAGTTTCAAGATACTGTATATTAATTAATTATATAGGTCAGTGGTTCATACAGTTCGTCCGCACTTTTGTGTATAATTATCATAAGATATCATGTACTGACTAAGCTAAACAGTTATTGTGACAATCGGTATCATTTTATCAAGAATAGATAGAGATTGATTTTGAACTTGATGGTGAATGGTCGTATTATTACAACTCCCAACTCTCCTTATTACTAAGTTATCACACACCGGTCCATGGCATCGCGAGTGTGCTGTATTGAATTTGGATACCTCCAATCATGCGGGCACTCATTGGGTGGCTTTCATAAAAAATGATGAAAAAGTCTTATATTTCGATAGTTATGGCAATCTGAAACCGCCCAGAGAATTGGCTCAATATTTGGGTACAGGCACGAAAATCATGTACAATAACGAGCAATACCAAAATTTCAATCAAAGTAATTGTGGACGTCTATGTCTAGAATTCCTCTTCAATGAAACCAAGTAACACAGTCATTGTGCATCAGTCATGTCTCTGATTGTGGCGTTAAAAGGTCGTACATCTACGCTCTACATAGACTTTTTGACAACACTTCAACTCGATCCAGACTCTGAGTACGGACTAGCATTGTTGGGATTTCATTCATACAACAGTATACCAAATATCGACAAAGGATCAAAGTTTTATCTGCAAGATAAGACCAAGGCGGGAAAGATCATCGATATTCCCGGAGGTTCATACGACATTGTGGACATTGAGACATTTATACGCAAAGAATTGGGTATATCGAGTGCAAAGGACGTTGATGATATATTCTTGCTGAAGCCCAACAATAATACACTAAAGTGTGAGATTTCGAGCCAAAGGTTTGCCATCGATTCTCGCCCGAAGGATAGCATAGCTCAAGTCTTGGGATTTTCAAATAGATTGTTGAACGCACAACAAGTCCACACTTCCGATTTGCCAGTCAGCATAACCAAAGTGAGAACCATTCACATTGATAGCAACGTTACTGCTGGAGCTCTCTACAACGACAGACCATCACATACGATTTACGAGTTTGCAGTTGCAGTCGATCCTGGTTACGCCATAGACGAGACTCCCAGAAATCTAATCTACCTACCTATAGTCAGTAGGCGGGAATTGCCAAACATTTCACTCCAGATTCTCGACCAAGATTTCAGAGAGGTGACTTTCAGAGGTGAAGAAATCATTATAAGATTGGAGTTGAAGAAACTCGCAAGATGGTACTAGTGTTTGATTACTCCTTTAAATCAGACGATCAGCCATCATCATCACCATCATCAGCATCAGTTCCCTCGCCACCATACACCAAAGCAGTCGTGTCTTCGAAGAGCAGGAGCAGAAAATCATTGACATTATCCAATATCCTGTTTCTCAAATCACTCGAAGGCTACAATGTTGTCAGCTCCCGTGTTCGACGTTTTCCGCAAACCCAGATCCGATGAAAGCATCACTAAAGTGGAGTGGCGCACCTATTACCCACATGTGAAATCATTCGAAAACAATGATGTCATCGATATTACAGTCAATCAAGCAGATACGTGGCTGGCTATGTTTGAAGGTATCATTACCATCAAGGGTAATTTGGTTGTGACCGGAGGTGGTATTGGTACATTAACTCACAATGCTGAAGCCTATCTCTTTGATTCCTGTACCTATGAATTGTGAATTAAAGAATTGGACACTGTCAGATATCCTGGAATAACAAGTACTGTGCGAGGATACTTGTGTTACACACCTGGAGACTCACGCCAGGAACTCAGGCTGGAACTATCCCAACGCTCCGATTCTCAACGCCGATAAAACGTTCAGCATGAACATTCCACTAAAACATTTGTTTTCCATCTTCAACGATCATCAAGTGGCAACGTGGGGCAAGCAGTCTATCCGTTTAGTGAAAGCTCGTAATGATGCCAACAGTGTGAAGGTTGTCGAGTGAGCTAATACTGCTTTGCCAGGATCTCCTCAGACTCAGAGCACTGCTTAAATAACGATTGAAAGCATCAATTTGAAAGTGCCGCATCTTACACCCAACGATGACATGAGGTTGTAGTTGTTGACACGTATCAAGGCAGATGAGTCTATGATGATACCGTTTCGTCGATGGGAATTGCACGAGCTACCAGCACTCACACAAGGATCCACCATAGAAATCTAGAAATTAGAGAGTCCCAGATATGTTATAGTATTTTTCCAAACGAAGAAAGCCGATGATTTGCATGAAGACGTCACCTTGTTCGATAATGCCAACATCAAATCCATACGATTGGCTCTGAATAGCGACTATTATCCGCAAGCAAGAATGCTATTGGACTTTTCCAAAGACCAATATGCCGACGCTCACTTCAACTATACAGAGTTCAACAAGAGCTACCATAACTGTCAACAAAAACGCGCTCTAGTGAATTTCAATGAATTCAAAACCCGACCAATGTTTGTTATCGATTGCTCGAGGCGCCATCTAGGCATGAAGTCGTCTACAGTTGACAATAAGTTGGAAATTGAAGCGACGACAGGTTTCCTCCCACTCAGCGAAATTGTTCGAAATATCACCTTGTTATAGGTGTTGATGTCGCACCAGTCAGACGTCAGTTTGCTCCGAAGAGTCATGGAGATCGCACTTGTTAACATTCAAGCGTTCATGGTTGAGGGTGAATTCATTCCGAAGGAAATGACAATTAGAATTGGCAAAAAGACGAGTCATCATCTATCCAAGCTATCTGTAGAGTTTTCCAGTTTGAACAAAGAAGATAAAAAGATGGCGAATCATGTGGAACATTACGTTCATGGTTTAAAATATTCCAGTGGTTATGTGGATTCGAATGGGTTGAATCGAATACTACGAGACAACCTGCAGCAGACAAACATCATCTACGTAAGAGGCCATCAAAAGATTCAGTTTTTGCAGCGAAAATGTGCAGAGTTGGAGATGACCAATCATATTGTTGATTTGGAAGATTTTGACAATTCTTGGTGGGAGTCAATAACGTTCCTACAATCCATTTCACCCTGCATGAATCATTTCCATGGAGGAAGGTTTCAGTGAAGTCTCCACAATGTCGATACTTTATATAATTGGTTATGTAATTCATTGCCAAAATAAAAAAACGTTATAATAATTTCAGAGTTTTCATTCATCACATCCCTTATTTCTCAGTATTCCAACAATAACATTTGAGATTAAAATAAGTGAACATATCAGTGTACAACAAAGTGTCAAAATTTCAATGACATTGACAGTATCTTGATCTAATTGTGCGGAGGATTTTTTCAATGTAAGTGTCTGCCAGTCTCCCATTTCGCCGTCACTGCCATCAGAAAACGATTATTCCAATTTGTAGTCGATGCTTCTTTCATCAACATGTTGTGGCATGTCGATTGAATATACAGGTAGTTCGTTATCATTGACATACATTCTAGCCATCATCTTCCAATCACATAGTTGTGTACGATTCACATCAGAACATACGGCTACATTCCTTGTATTGTACGGTATGTTTGTGTAGAAGACGTTGTTGCTCAGAGCTGTCAATAGAATGAAGCTTGCTTTCAGTATCGCCATCTTGTAGCTGTGTTGCTTGAATTCTTTTTCTTGATGATGTAGGTGTAGCTGTGCGTCTCGGTTCTGTGAACACCTTATCTCAAACGCTCAGTTGCTCGAAATCTTTGAACAGGTCAACTTTCTGCTCATACAATTGGATGTCTGCACTGAGCTGTCTAACCTTCAAACCAAATTCTTCTATTGCACGTCTGTATTCGTCAGAAGACATGATACAACTGTTTTACACGTCCATACCTTCAATTCACATCCTATTACAACACTTTCCCTCTCTTTCTCTCCCTTTTTCTCACTCTCTCTTTTTCTTCTCTTCTCTTTCTCCCTCTCTTTCTCGTACACATCCAATCAAGTGTGAGGGTTCAAGAGGACAAAATACACAGAAAAGTCTATTGATTGTTTCTATATTCTGAGTATAATGAAAAATGGTTTTCGTATCCTTTCACTCCCCATATACATCATATTGCGAACACCATCTATCATACGTCATATGTCATGTATTACCTGGCATCATATATTTCTCGAACATCTGACAACACGTTATCGACTTCATGAATAATAATTTTCAACGTCTGGCAACAATGTGACGGTTATCGCTGCACACGACCCTTATCAGCGGAAGCTTCATTTGGTGTTGTGTGTATATTGTCCATAAAACTAACATAGAAATATTTCACCATGAATTCATTTCGATATAATACCGTCTTATCTCTAGAACGCATCTTTCGCTTTGCTTTACCTCTACAGATCCGTTGCAAAGATGAGCGCGCGCCAGCGATGGATATTATTTTCGACTCGAAGTTTCTCATCTCTGGGACGCATCTCTCGCTTTGCTTGCCTCGATAGATCCGTTGCAAAGATAAGCGCGCGCCAGCGATGGATATCTCGTTTGAATAGCATTGAAATAATCGAAATATTACGGAGGTCGGAATACCACAGTGCGTATATACGCTGCCTCGTAATGCAAAGGTCCCTGGTTCAATTCCCCAGCGGTGACAGCTTTTTTTAATTCATTGAGCGTTTAGTTTCAGCACCGGAAGGTCAAATGTCATCAATCATGTGCTATCTGTCATACGTTGGCTGTAATCTACTATAAATGTGATATATCATTCATATATTCTCATTCACCGATCCTTCCTGTATATTCCATTTTGTTATTGTTGTTGTGTTATCGCTATTCTTATCAGCAGCTTCGGGCTAGCGTTGGAGCCGGATGACCTTGAAAGAGTGAAAAATTGCAGAATAAACCTCAAAATTTGCTGAAAATGTCCGTAGATATAGGAAAAAATCTGGTCTGCTTTACATGGGCTCTTATGGGGCTTTCCGCTACGCATCGCGGAATCTCCGTAGAATCTGGGGAAAAAGGACTCAGAATTTTGAAAATTGCGGGGAAACTGGTACAGCTCCTTTACTCATTATCCTTGGAGTGGTACCAGAAATATTACATACCTTTGGATGGTGTGTGGGCTTCACGTGGTGATGAAGATGGCCGGCGAACGAAGACACAATATTCCTTTTTCGAGATTTTCTGAACTCCAAGTCCAGAATGAAGTGGAAGAAGTCTCTCTTGATCCCACTAGTAGTGGACAAATGAACCAAATACGATAAGCGATACTCAACGAGATGAAAGACTTCAATCCTATCTTACGTTCTACCGTAGCCAGTCACCAAAATCAGAATCCCAAAAATCAGGTCCAGGTAGTGGGTGTTCCTTCGTCGTTTTTCGGCTCGTAGGAGGACAAGTTCAGGACCACCGACTTCAAAATTCGGCGGGAACCATTTCAGATACAACCAATACACCATTTCCACTGTGCTCACTAGCTACATATGTTAAGGCTAACAAAAATCGGAAATTCGACCGAAAAAGGACGCTTGAGGCGCCATTTTTCCTCCACTCTGAGCAAACTAATTTTCCAGGAAGAATCCCCACTATATTGTTATCTCTCTCTCTCCTAGATTTGGCGTGCAGGAGGAAGGAGTTATGCGCATGACCGATATCACTCATCAAATCATCACTCAAATGACAGCAAAGGGCCAAAGAACAACAGAAATCAGAAGTCAGGAGCCGAAATCGCACATTTGCCTTGATGACATCACAAAACAAGGAACATCGGAATTCATATCAGACCATTGAAACTGTCGCGCGGCCGCAGGGCTCATTCGAAACACACCATTCCTTGACCAACCACACTGCTCAGCGACCTGCTGGCTATGTCCCCTGTCAGTAAATTGTCAGAAGGAAAAGCATATCTTGGGTTAATGTTCATTACTCGAACTGAATATACACAGAAATTTTGACAATGTAACCAATAACAAAGGTGAAATACTGATGCAACATTCTTCAAGTGCTTGATTCTATTATTTAAGAATTATAACGCAGCACTGGTGGTTTCACAAGAAAGGGCAAGGGTTGAGTTGAACCGTGAACAAAACAGCTTGCTGAATTCCAGAAAGAAAATAGATTCTGTCAGATCGATATGTTATTTTGTCCACCAAAGTAGTCAGGCGTAGGGCTCCACAATCATGCTCAAAGGTCCAGCTCGTAGGTTAGTACAAAATCATTCGATTTCCATAGATTTAGCAGTGCTTTTTGGTTGAAGTGAAATCAACTCGTAACAGTTTCCTACCACTCTCCGTCTTGATTCTCAATTTTATTCTGAAAATCCTTCTCGACAAATAACAACAACAAAAATTCGGGAGAGTGGAGGTCATTTCCCAGGAACAAAACAAAAATAAAACGAACGAATACCAACAACAACCGAAAAAACAAAAAAAAAAGTATCCAACTTTACAATGTGAAATTTTGATGGTTTTCTAGGATCCTTCTTCAGAACTCGAAGATTTCTCAAAAATTGAATTGATTAAGAACTATTACACTGAAAAAAAATTTCTCTGGTTCGGTAGATGAGCAGAGTGATTTTCACTGGAAAAACAGAAAAAAACAACTAATGGAATCTGAAAACTTAACATTTTGCTCCTAACACATACTATTGTCATATAACATCATAATAATGCACTTGAAATTTCAAATTAGTACCTCGCTTCCATTCGATCGAATTATAGAGATATCTATAAGAAAACAACTTCTTTCCTGGCTAATACCAACGACGAATATTGGATTATATCTTCTAGATATCTGAAACAATTTGATTATTTCCATTCACTCATTACATTGCATCCTCTTGCAATAACTTGATTGCAACACGCATTGCATGACACTTATGTGCCACGCATTGGCCCTAAGGGTAGTATTCACCAATATTGCAGGCTTCCTCCAAACTTCCCTCTGCCGAACTGTTTTGTAATCATTACTCAACTCATAGTAAAATGTTACTCGATCATCTCAACACTAAAATCCATATATATATATCACTTGTGTACTTGACAGAGCATCTGCCAAACTTCCCTAGCCGAACTGTTCAGTAATCACCACTAAACTCATCAGTGAATCATAATAAAATTAATCTCATATCAATTCATCACACAAATTCAACAATAACTTCCATAATCTTCAAAGTAGTGTACCTACGTCACCATCAGCTCAAGATGGCCGCCGCCGGAAGTGACATCACAACCGTTCCTGTGGTTGAAGGTATTGGCTGCACGGAAGTGACACGTGACAGATGACAAGTGACAGATGACAAGTGACAGATGACAGGTGAAAAGTGCCAGATGACAAGTGGCAGGTGACATGGAGCACAAGGAGTGACAGATGGCATGGAATACAAAGAGTGACAGGTGACAGACAACGAGTGACAGGTGACAAGCGATAGGTGACAGATGACAAGTGACAGATGACATGGAACACAAGGAATGACAGATGACACGTGAAAGTACTCTAAACTTAGCCCCCTAGACTCTGGAATCTAGTCCTCATGGGCGTGTTCTAGGACATTCTTAGTAGGTATACAAAGCTGGTTGATGGCCAGAGCCGCAATAAAATGCCGCTAGTTAGCGTTGGCGCTGGTGTCGCTGGTGGCGCGAAGTTCAAATTTGCAGATGGCGGC